GGCCATGCCGGGCCATAGAGATTTGCCGGAGAAAAGGAAAATCTTATAACGACCTGTTAGGGATAAATTTCTGAAAACTTTTATGCCAATACACAGTATACTTGCATCGCACTTGTAGTCGAAAGGATGCGAGTTTCAAGCTTGCTCGCGACACGTTATTACGTCCTTGAGAAAGACACTTTAAGCTGGGGATTAACCTGTGGTGGACTGGCATCCCATCCAGGGGGATCGTGTTACCATTCTCATCCACATGGACAACAGGAAGCCAGAATCAAGCACCGATTTTGTGTGCCTCCAGTGGCGTAATAAGGATTAACTTTCTTGTAGTATACATGCTGGCCGTAAACGATATAATACAAATACGTATGCTCCCTCCCCCCCTCGTGTTTTTTCAAGTTGATTTTTAGTTTAACACTTAAGTAAGTATTGTAAAAAAAATGTACTATAATACCATAAACGTAACAGCTATAATTTTATGGGCGTTGCTAGGATGCGAACGATTAGCCTCAACTACATTTCGATGGTCACCGAAAATTAAATCGAGCGCTGCAAAACCTTCCGAACGTGACGTTATAAGTTTATATTAATAACCTCTTTCATTTTCTAGTGTGATTCTTCAATATGAAATTATCCTTGCTGCAAACAATGTACCGGCCTGCTCTTGACTCACAGTTTATTTTAGGTTACATGTATTACTGATTTAAGAAACGACCACACTCCTGGAAAATCCTAACGAGACGATGAATTTGGTACAAAAAAATCTGAAATCTTTACCCGTATTGGTACCGTCTGAATATCACCGCTACTTTATATTATTCAATCGTAATTTCACATCAAACTTTAGATATAATAATAATTATATACTACTATTAATAAGGCATTTATTCATATCATAACAATCTATGACAGTTTTCATAAACGCTTTCTTCAATATGAAAACTATATATTTTCAACTTCATACGCTTACCTAGTTACTAGCTCGGTTTACTTTCCTTACAGTCGCGTCACGATGAGGTGCCCACTTCAAGTAAATACGTCTCTGATATATAACGACTAGTCTATTCCTACAGTTATATTCTATACTTTGCGCTCCTCTCTCGCTTGATTCCAATCCAGATGATTAAGTACAATAGACTAGAGCCGCCATCTACGTATCTCGAAAAGTGAGTGTTTGAGAATAGCGAAGAAAAGTGTCATCAAGCACGTCCACGAGGTCTAAAGTGAACACACTTGTTGTTTTGAAGAGAAACTTTTCGCTGATTCCCACAGTAAGGGCTAGACAGAAGCAATTATTCTCTTTCATCTCTTTTCTGGCTTTGTCAGGTACACTGAATACTCTACATAGGCAAGGGAAAATGTGTCACATGTGCTTTGCCGAATGTGTAGCAAAAACAAAACTCCTTATCGAAACATTTCTCCGTAAACTGGGAGTTGCCTTTCAACTTCGCCGCTATGATGTTAGATGGGTGAAAGATAAAAAACGATGCTGAACGAATTATGTACAAAGGCGGGCAGTATCACGGGGTAGTCGTGTCCGGGGGCTATATATTCTCGAAAGCGGATAGGTTCGCTCGCTTGCATGGATTCGCTTTTGAGACCTCACTACATAAAGAACGATTCAGCAAAATATTTCTAGTGGAATCGTCCTGCCCACGAGATCCAGGCAAAGAAAACTAGGCACTTTTAAATGTACAGAGATGCTGCGGGGTACCGAAATCTTGTTTTGGTTAGATAACTGC